CGGCATTCCCCATCCCTATCACTTTCCACGGCCTCCTGGCCGCTGATGGCTCCAGGGAGCTCCTCCTTGGAGGTATCTACAGCTAAAGGAGATGCAGCCACCCATCTGGGATGCAAACCGCGGCCTCACCCATCCCCAAACCAGGAACGGGGACCCTCGGTAGCAGCACCGGCTGTGTCGTCCCACCCCCCCCTTGCCCAACCGGCTCTGACACCTACAGGGCAAGATGTTCACGTATCTGTTCTTCTCCTTGTTCTCCTCCTTGGAAGCAGCTTCGCACGTGGCCTGTATGGGACACGCTGGGAGAGCCTGCAGTGGTAGAAAAGGGGGTTTTCCATGATGTTCTTACTCACAGCACGGCAGTAACCTCCACACAACCGGCTGCATCCGAGCATCCTGCCCCTTTGGAGGCGTCCCCACCGCCCACACCCCTCACCTCCAGCCCAGCACCAGTTCCTCATCCCCACCGAGCTCAAGGTGACCATTTAAATAACCTGGGCTGGATCAGAGAGAGCAAATCCCTTCTGAAACGTGGTTATCTGGCGTCTCGGAACCCATGAACACGAGGTGGCAGCAAAACCTCCGGCACCAACCCACCAGCCCAGCCATCAGGGAGCTCACTTCTGCCCACGGAGGCTCCTGCGGAGATTTCCTCCGTTAGCAGCGATGCTAACAGCGACCCGATTCAACCCCCATCGCCCGAGCACGCCCAGCGATGGGAAGGAGCGCCCACGCAGGGAGTTACGCCTCATCCAGCGGCACCGGGGACCTTTGGGTTGGGGGGTGCTGGGGTTACTGGCGCCGCCGTCCCGCTCCCGGCTGCCGGGTTTCACGCTCGAGCGGAGGAGGCGCTTCCCCAGCGCCGTTATTCCACATCCTCTCTGAACAGCGAAGAGGATGAGAACGTCCTGGAGGTTTTCACCACGCCTTCCTCCAGCTGACAGGACAGGCGTGCTTTGGCAGCAGAAGTCTTCGCCGCAATCGTGTATTTATAACACAAAACACCCCCCCTCCCCGGGCATTTGTTGCGCCGATTGAATTTCACCGACGCGCGGCCAGGAAGGGTATCAGGTGGTGCAACAGTTGGGAGAAAGTGGAGTGGCTTTTTTTTTTTTTAATCTTCTCATCATCCTCATATTGCGGAATCGCGCCTCGGGCCTCAGGCTTCACGTACTGGCAGACCACCGGATCAACAGCGGGATTTTCTTTCCTTCATTAGGCTGACGGAGAGTCCAGGTAGTTCAGCGGCTCCGACAGCACATGCTGAGACACTTCAGCTCGATGTTTAACTTTGCCCCCTCCCTCAGCACCGCTCTGCCTGCTTTCGTAGTGCCGGGGCGAAACAGGTCCATCGTCACAAGAAGCTGCAGAGCTCAGCAGGATCAAGAAGAGGTTGTAGCCACTTCGGAAGAGATGGGATAAGCACAATACCTGAATTATTACTCACTGCTGAAGGGCAACTGTTGTCCTATAAATGGTCGTTATTCTGTTTCAGGGTTAACAGCTCACTGAAATAGACGGGGTCATTGCCGTTTCTCTGTCAGAGCTCCGGTTTTGGCTGTTTGTGGATTGAAGCCGTGAGGATTGGGAGGAGGGAGGCAGACCCTGGGAGGAAACCAGCAGGCAGGGAAGCTCTGGAAGATCCCAAGGCATCCAGGACACCCAGAAAAACATCAACCCGTAGTGCTGCTTGCTAGAAAACTTCTGCTTTCTGTAGCGAACGTGACGGGTAGTGGCTTGCCCCCCCTCACAGCAGATTCGGGGACAGAATCGATCTTCCCACCTCACAGCGCCCTGACAAACCCCTGAGGACCGGGTGGACCATCGCTCCCTCCGTGAAGCTCCCAGAGAAGCTCTCCTGAAGCACGGCACCCAGCACTGTTCTTTTATCGACTCAAGTGACCCCCTGGGTTGGTGTGCCGTCCCCAGGCGAGGTACCACCGCACGCTGCAGCTCCTCCCTGACGTACCAGCCAGTTCTTCCCTGCTCTATGAAGTCAGACGAGATTTTTTTCCCCCGCCGTGCGTCGCAAGCCCGACGCCGAGAGCGGCCTGCGGGATTTTAGGGCAAGAAAGGAGGCACTCACGTTAAACTCCTCCCGAAAGAGCTTGTTGTCATCTGCCATCCGGCGGTTGATCTCCTCTTCCAGCTTATCAACGGGCAGAGGCGGGTATTTGCGGTTGGTGCTGGGGGAGCGGGCGAGCAGCGGCATGCTCTGCGGCTCTGCAACGACACCCGGGCATCAGAGGCGCCCCCCCAGCCGCTCCCCGTGCCCAGCGCTCACCCCTGCCCCGGTGGGCACAGGGACCTCGCACACTCGGCCTGCTTTTAGGGCCACCCTCGCTACCCCCGTATGTTCATGGCACCGTGGCACGGTTTGGGTCGGAAGGGACTTCAAAGATCATCAAGTCCAACCCCCTCACCGTGGGCAGGGACACCTTCCACCGGACCAGGTTGCTCCAAGCCCCGTCCAACTGGAAATGTCCCGGCCTTTTGCTCTCCCTACAGATGGTGCAGAAAAATTGGGGGATGCTGTGATAACATGAAACTCAGCACTCCGTGGTTGAGCATTACGCTGTTGTAGAGGCAGGACAGGACAATGGGGACCACGTCTAACTACCCCACAAAATGCTACAGGCTGGGGAGGAGCGGCTGGAA